CCCCCAAAAAACAACAAAATACTTAGGAAAAAACTTAACAAAAAGAAATACAAGCCCTAACCGGTTTGGCTCAGTGGATAGAGTGTCGGCCTGTGGATTCAAGGGTCCCAGGTTTGATTCCGGTCAAGGGCATGTACCTTGGTTGCAGGCACATCCCCAGTAGAAGGTGTGCAGGAGGCAGCTGATCGATGTTTCTCTCCCATCGATGTTTCTAACTCTCTATCCCTCTCCCTCTCTGTAAAAAATCAATAAAATATATTTTTTTAAAAAGAAAAAGAAATACAAGACACTTGTACACTTGAAAACAACAGTGTACTCCTTATGCTATACTTAACATCTGTGATTATTTTGTAATTGCCAATTTGTACTTTGTAGTAAATATATAAGCTTCAAATAAGGGATATAAACTCATCTTTCAATATTAAGCTCACTGGTTTTTTGTATATTAAAAGAAAGGGAGTGGTTGCCAGAAGCTGAAGGAAATGGGTAAAGGGAAATTACTATTTAACGGGGACAGAGTTGCAGTTTGGAAAGATGAGAAAGTTCTGGAGATGAATGGTGGTGATGGCTGCACAATAATGTGAATTTATTTAATGCCATGGAACTGGTATACTTAAAGATGGTTAAAATGACCATTTTTACTATAAACAAATAAAATAAGGCATACTTCATAAGATGGAAATCTTAGGTCACAGATATGAACACTATGCATCGGGAATGGAATTTCACAGTGGGCAACAAAAGTCAGGTAGGCCAGGGTTATCATCAAGCTTTACCACTATGTGAACTGTATATTGGGCACATTAATTAATACATTATACAAAATTTGCCTACGCTCCCCAAAAAGGCCAGAGAAGTTTGGTGGTATTGAAAACTGAATAAGAAGCCTATATAGCAGTTAATGCCCAGGGAGTGGCATTAAGATGAAATCATGGAAACAAGCAGGAGTTACACAATGCATGGTCTTTTAGAGAAAAGAATTTTGTATGTGAGGTGCAATAGGAGGCCACTGGAAGGTTTAGCAGGTTAATAAGTTACATGACCTTTAGAAAACCACTCTGGCTGCTGTGTGGAGAACGACTGAAAAACAACAAAGGAAGCCAGAGCCAAGTTAGAACACAATGGCAGTGTCAGTGTGAGGTGATGGTGAGACTGAGGAAACAGAAGTTCACAAATTTGGGTGTGTTTTGGAGACAAAATCAACTCGTCTTAGAGACAGAGAGTAAGAGAAAAGAATCAAGATGACTCCTAAGTTTCTCTCAGCTAGCTAGGTGGTTAGAATGACTTACTGAGTTGGGAAAGAAATATTTGAATCACCACTGTTTAATAGAAGCTGGCCTTGTTTATTTCTTCAAAAGGGAAGATGGCTTGAGGATCAGGGTTACACTTTCCTCTGACGCCGTTTACCACTACCATCTACTGATGCAAACTAAAGATAGATGCTTTGGGGGTAATTTCTCTAAGTTTTCAAATAGACTCACTACACGGAAATCCTCTAACTGCCATAAAAATTCTTAAATATTCTTAACTTGTTTTTTATTTTCATTTTCAAATTGTTCTTTGCTAGTACACAGAAATACAATTGATTTTTTTTATATTAATCTTATACCTTGCAGTCTTGCCTTGACTCTTACTAGCTTTTAATAGCTTTTTAGGGGTTCTTTAAGATTTTCTATATAGAAGTTCATGTCATGTGCAAACATTTTTTATCTTTCTAATCAGGATGCCTTTTCTCTCTTTTTCTTGTCTAAGTGCCTTTGCTAAAATCTCCAAAATTTAGAATCCTATATAATAAAAGCCTAATATGCTAAGCGTCCGATTGTTCATTCGACCGGTTGCTATGATGTGCACTGGGGGGGCAGACATCCGACCGGTAGGTTAGCTTGCTGCTGGGGTCTGGCTAATCGGGACTGGGCGAGACAGGCCGGACACACCCTGGAGCCCTCCCGCGGTCTCTCCCCAGCTGGCCAGCCTCCCATGGTCCCTCCCCAGCTGGCTGGCCGCTATTGGCCCTGATCGGGACTGGGCAAGATGGCCCCCGTCACCCCGATTGGGACTGGGTGAGATGGACTGGACATGCCCTGGACAAATCCATGCACCGGGCCTCTAGTGTTGAATAAAAGTGGCAAGAGTAGACATCCTTATCTTGTTCCCGATTGTAGAGGAAAGCATTCAGTCTTCTACCACGAAGTGTGATGTTGGCTATGGGTTTCATAGACACCCTTTATCATGTTGAAGAAACCTGGTCGTAATTTTAATTTTTAAGTTGTCAGTGTACTCTTATTTGGTCTGTTTTGGTGATGTTTTGTGGTGACTGTATATTTATATCCAAATTAGAAATGACAGTTTTGCTGGATTAGTAGGCCTGGTGGATCATTGAATTGGGTAAGATTCCCAACTCTAAGGCACTTACAGTGAATTATATGGAACATTTTGGAAAAACGTATTGTGAGGTGTTTATTTTATGAAGACTTTAAGACTGTACATGTTGGGGTTTATTAACTTCTGCTTTTCTTAGGATTAGTAATCTGACCCTGCAATTTGGCATTTAGCTCAATAATTCAGTTCTGTGAAACTATAGAAATGAACTTCAATTCTAAATGTAGATCTAAATTATTTCTTGTCAGTTTTACTCTACATAGCCTGGATAAATAGCTTGAATTGTGCTTTTAGACATGGTAACTTTTATACTTTTATTTAAATTATGAAATTAAGTGTGGCATGTTCTCTGTGATGGATTGAAACACTGGAGAATATTGTGAACTGTTTTGAAGATGAAAGCAAGTTTGGAGCTGCTATTTTAATACTTTCAGAAAGAGATCTTTTTATGGTAATTTTTGAATTATAAAGATCATCTCCTAACTTAAGGTAATAAA